AGGCGAGGTCGGTGATGCCGTGACCGTGCACGCCCTGGAGCCGCTCCTCCTCCTCGCCGCGGCGCGTGTTGTACACGGCGATGTCGGTGCCACCTGCCACGGCCACGGCGCGCCCGTCGGGGGACAGGGCGATGAGCCGCGGCTCCGGCACCGAGCACTGCCCTGTCAGCAGCAGGTACGGGTCCTGCTGCTTCTTGTACTCCACATCCGTGTCCCAGAACTTCCACGTGCCATCCTTCGACACCGTCGCCATCCTGGAGGCACGAGAGAGGACAGGTTGGTGCAAGGGAATGCACCAGGAATCCTCTGTGGAGGGAGGTGTTTTGGGAAGGGTGAGTCCGTACACATGTACAGGCTGTGCTGTCTTTCCACTATCCCAGGTTGCTCCAAGCCCTGTCCAGCCTGGCCTTGGATGCTTCCAGGGATGGGGCAGCCACAGCTTCTCTGGGCAACCTGTGCCAGGGCCTCACCACCCCCATAGCAAAGGATTTCCCTCCAATATCCCATTTAACCCTGCTCTCTGTCAGTATAAAGCTGTTCCCCCTTGTCCTGTCCCTCCAGGCCCTTGTGAACAGTCTCTCTCCATTTTCTCAGTTCCCTTCAGGTATTGGAAGGCCACAACCAGGTCACCCCAAAGCCTTTTCTTCTCCAGGCTGAACAACCCGAATTCCCTCAGCCTTTCCTCACAGCAGAGGTGCTCCATCCCTCTGATCATCTTGCTGCATCCTCTGGACTAGCTCCAACAGGTCCATGTCCATCCTGTGGTGGGTCCCCAGGGCTGGAGGCAGCTCTGCATGGGGGGGGTCTCACTTGAGGGGGCAGAGGGGCAGAATTCTCCCCTCCCCTGCTGCCCACCCTGTGGGATCAGCCCAGGGCACAGGGTGGGGTCATGTCCAGCCTCTCCCCCAAGTCCTTTTCCCCAAGGCTGCTCCATCTGCTTATCCCCAGCCCGGATTGATCCCAGGGGTTGCCCTGACCCAGGTGCAGCACCAGCACTTGGTCTTGTTAAATCACATGGGATTCCCATGGGCAGGGAATATACAGGTGGCACGAGCCAGTTTTGGCCTCCCAGGGCAGTGTTTTACCCCTCCCAGCTCAGGGGTGCAGCTGGGGAATCCTAGAAGGGGTGAGCTCCTGTGTCCTGAGGGTGATCCAGAGCGGGCTGTGTGGGATAACACACACTCACCTCCTCGAGTCGTTGGAGAAGGAGAAGGAATGTACACCAGCAGTGTGGCCCTTCAACTCAAAAGCCCTGGTCACCTCTCGGAATTCTCCATTCTTGCCAAAACACACCTCCCACACCTTCACATCAGGGGTAAAGCCACAGGATGCCACAAACCTGTGTAAAGGAACAAGCAGAGACACAGGGTACCTGTTACAGAGCTCCTGAGAAAGGCGGGGCCAGTGCTCTGCAAACCTGTCCTGACTCCTCCACTCAAATCTTTGGTCAGCTGGGAAAGTTTTCACTTGTCTCTGAAACCCTGCTGGTAAAGGGAATGCTAAGGAAGGGCACCAGAACAACTCAGGAATGAGAAACTCTCAGGCCAAAGCAAAAGAGTTCAATGCTTATGATCCCCAAACTCCCTGAGCCTGGAGCAAGGCAAATCATCCTGCAGTGACAGGTTAGAGACAGAGCAGAGAACAAGATTTTCCTGATAAACGGATCTCCCAGAAATAAAGACTTTAGCTTTATAATTAACCTTTAAGAGCTTACAAACAAGTTCAAAATGCTGTTTGCTTTGCATAGGCTGTTTGCTCTGTCCCATCTCTGCTACCTGAGGCCAAAGCTGTTCTCAGGTTACCAGAACAGCAGCGCTGAGGCACAACAGTAACACACCGTGTCTGAGCCCACATCAGCTCCACATCCCAGAGGGCAAAATCCCTTTTTAAAACTGTGGAACCCTCAGAAAACTGCATTACAATAACAACTAACTGCTGACGGTCTGAACTGATGACGTCCTGTGGGAAGGAGTGAGGTTCCCAGCTGCTCCTGCAGCGGGATTAGCCTGGAATCCCTCCTGTCCCTCACCTCCCACAGGGTGACACTGTGGCGTAGGCATTGTTCATCTGGTTGGTGTTAATGCTGGACAGGACTTCTCCCTTCGGGCTCCAGATCAGGATGGTGGTGTCACTGGAAGCTGTCATGATAAACTTTCCTGGGGGAAAAAGGCAAAGATCAGGAGAGGTCCCAGACCTAACACAGCCAGAGACTCATTGAAGCCCCAGCACAACCTCTCCCTGCAGCTGGAGAAAACCAAAAGCACCACCAAAATCCAAGGAGGGTCAATCAGAAGACTCAGCTCCTGGTTATGCCTTAGTCCTCCTTTAGCTTTTGGGTGGGCACTGGGCCCACACGTGCCCCTTGCTCAGCACCCTCAGCCCCTGCAGAGCTCAGCACGGGCTGTGCCACAGCAGGAACACAGCACATTCCATCTGCCCTGCGTGCCTAAAACCAGCTCGAGGATCAGCCATGGAGTGTGGGCAGGCAGCTGAATCCCAGTCACACCAGCACCACCCATGGTTACTGGTTGTGTCCATGTTGGACTCGTGCTTGTTCCCACTTCCCCAGTGCCACCTCAGCCCAGGCAGGGAGTTGCCTGTTTAGCTTTCAGCTACTTGTTGCAGGTTTAAGTTTTCACTTTCACAGGTGAACAAAGGTCTCAGTTAACATTTTCCCTGCTCTCCTGTTACAGAGGTGAATTCACATTCATCTGCTGTCACGTACCTGAAGCATTAATCCATCAAGCCCTCACCACTAACACAGAATTCCCACCCACCCACCCTCACCTCTGTTCTAGGTGATCCCAGAAGTTCAAGACAGATCATAAGAACTCACTAGAGAGATTTCTGACTGGTTAAAGAGAGACTGGTGGGCCAGAGAACAGCGATCCTCTCAATATTGAGACCAGACCTCTTTGCAACAGCATCCCTGAAAATGTAAATTAAGAGACTGTGCATATCGGGGAGCTGGTTACAGGGACAGAATGGGTCTGAAAATGACACCTTTTAGTTCACTCAGGAGTAAATTAAATAAAAAAAGAACCCTAAGAGACTACAGAGAGTCAAGTACTGGGGCTGAGCACAGCCTTCAGAATGCCGAAAACTCCAACACTTTGAACCCAGCAGCTTCACAAGGAAATCAAAGCCAACCTGGACAGCTGAGCAGCTCATTTCCATACCTGTCTCTGCAATCCCTATGTTAATGACAGGAGCTTTGTGCTTCTTTGGGAAGTCCCCAGAACTTGCGGTGAAGGTGAAGCTCCCATCGTCCTTCTTGGTCATCTTGTAGACACGAATAGTCTCGGCATTTGCCAGCCAGACAATGAAAGCCCTGTGGAGGGACAGGTCCTGATCCCCAGCTCAGCCCAGGTCACTCAGGGCCACCTGGGGAGAGGGATACACTGGCAGGTAAAAAGCTTTATGAGGGCACCAAGTTCTCTCCCTGTGTTGGCCCCACTGCAACACTGAATGGAAAAGAACAGAATTTATTACACCTGGAAATGAGATGCTTTCCTCTTTCTAAAAGAAGCCACTTCACAAGGAGCCAAGACATGCTCTCCCACCAACTTTCCCACCCAACAAGAGCTCCTGAGCCCACTGGAGAAGCTCAGCAGCACATCCCAGCTGGCAGAGACCTCAACGGCATTACCATGGTCATGCAGGGCACTAGGATATTTGCCCCAACAACCACATTAACCCATCAGGGGTTGTACTGCATGATCTCCAGAGGTCCTTTCCAACCCTGACTGTTGTGGTTTTGTGATTCCGTGCCAGCTGCCTTCAGGAAAGGCCATGGATCAGTGGTTACAGTGATGACCCAGTGACGGACGCTGCCTCCACGCATCCCAGGGCACATACCACTGATGCCAGCGAGGCCTGGCTGTGGGATCGGTGCCTCCGCAGGACACCCCTGTGCCAGCACGAGGCCCGTCCGTACCGTGAGTCGGGGCTGAGGCGGACGAGCTCGGCGTGGTCCAGCCCCACGTTGGCGCGCAGGCAGCGGTGCTCCCGCCCCGCCAGGTCCCGGGTGCTCCACAGCCGCACCGTGCGGTCCTCGGAGCACGACGCCAGGTACTTCCCGTTGCTGCTGAAGTCCAGGCAGGTCACCGGGCTGCTGTGGCCCTGCGGAGAGAGCGCGGTCGCGGCGGGAGGAGGTGGGACACTGGCACCAGCAGGATACCGGCACCGGCGGGGCAGCGGCACAGGGAAGGACACCAGCACCGGGCACACGGCACTGGCGGGACACTGGCAGGACACCAGGGGGACACTGGCACCGGGAAGAACACGTAGCACCGGCAGGGCACTGCATCCGCGGGACACCCGCACCGAGCACACACAGTACTGCCCGGACACGGTACCGGCGGGGCACTGGCGAGACACCAGTGGGATACTGGAACCAGGGGGACACCGGCACAGGGAGGGACAGCGGAACCGGGCACACACAGTACCGGCGGGACACTGCCAGGACACCAAGGGGACACTGGCGGGCACACACGGCACCGGGGGGGGACACCAGCGGGACAGCGGCCCGGGGACACGCGGTACCTTGAGGGTGGCGACCAGCAGCCGGTGTGTGAAGCTGTGCTGCTGCTGCTGCTGCTGCTTCTCCCTGCGAGGCCTCGCCTTCGCCTTCCGCGGCTCCTCCGGCCTGGCGTGCCCGTTGGCCCTGGGCCCTGCGGGAGCGGAGG